TGGATGAGGACACAGCGTCATGTTTTTATGAACATCAGCATTCACCATATTTTTGATCACCTTGTAAAGACACTCATAAAGAGGACTTTGAGAACCGCTTTGGAAAGTGGCAAGAACGATGAGATGCATGTGCTCGAAGCAAAGGGAAGGATTTTTAGGAGAATCAATGACAAGGTATCCTTTACCGCAATAAAGTTTTTAACTTAAACATTCACCATATATTTCATCTTCCTATCAGCATGCAACCAAAAACGTACTAACTCCCACCCAGAAGGGGAAGCAGAGCTCCTTCAGTGATCCTTGCTGTTCTCCTGGCCTCCTGGAGCCTAAATACACAATTTAGGAACATTTAAATATGATATAAATCTTACGTTGCCTGGGGAAGAAGAAGGCTAAAGAGAGCGGATTGCACTTAATATGCACTCATTCTTGACAAAATAAGGCGACACTGGCAACGGGCGACGCCTCTGACACTCGCCCCGCCGCTGTCCCCTGCCCGCCTCTCAGTCGGCCTCCTCCATCCTGCACGCGTCGGAGGCGGCTTCCAACGCGGCCCAACTTCGTCCATCATCTTCTCGGGACTTCTGTCTGGAAAGTGCGTCCTGCTCCTCTCTGCCAACACCGCGCAGTTTATTTCATTTTCTCCACAGCCCCTTCCATATCTGACAGTTAATATTTTACTTATTTGTTTTTTCTTTTCCTCCACTACAATAGAAACTTCCTGAGAGCAAAGGCTTTGTCTATTTTGTTTCCGATGGCTTTTTAAAAAATGCTTAGCAAACAGAAGGAATTTTAAAAATTCATTGTGTGAATGTTGAAGAATTGAAAAACCACTAATACACAAATGCTATCAATACTTCAGGGGTTGGTCAGTATCCTAGCTAGCATGAGAAAAGCTCCATGGAATATTTTTCATTTCTCCTTCAAACGCTCTTAGAAACAAAATTTAAACAAGAATACTCCATATTGTGCAGTTAGTAAAATACCCACCTACGGTCATTCTTATCCAGGCTGAAGCATCCTGGCCTCAGAGCTCAGCTCTAGCTTCGTAACTGCTCTGGAGACAAGCAAGGCCCTGAGTAGCTCAGTACCCCCTCCTCTGCAAACCTCGCTGTGGACCCCATCGCGGTGCTGCAGGAGCGGGGTGGACAGAGTGTGTGCAGGCACGCCCAACCCTCTGGCCAGAACTGAAGGGCTCAGGGATGCAGCTCTGCAAACTGCGGCCTGTCCACAAAAGCCATGAGAGTTGCCAGAAAAAAGGTACAAAACATCCAGTTAAATTTGAATTTCAGATAAACAATGAATAATTTTTAGTAAATGTGTCCCAAATACTAGATCTGGCTACCTGAAATGTAGCCCACGCCTATTTTTGAACAGCCTGCAGGAAAGGAATGATTTCTCCACCTTTAATGATGGGGGGGGTGAAAATATTATTTTGTGAACAGTATATCAAATTTCAGAGCATATAAGTAAGGTGCTGTTGGGACAGAGCCACACGCCTTTGTTTGGTCGTATCCAGATGGCAAGGCGGCAGAGAGCTTATGGCCGCAAAGCCCAATATCTACTGCCCAGCCCGTAACCGAACAGCTGGAGGCCTCGGTGTGGGGTGCTCTCTCTCCATGCTCTCCCTGCCTGAAGACCGAGCACGGGCAGCGACACACTCCTTCCGCAGGGCCTCGGCTGAGGCTGAGGGGTCACACCGGAAACACGAAGCAGGAAACAGACAGGCACGCAGACGGAGGCGCGGGCTGTGGACCCTCCAGGGCTGCTGGACAGTGAGACAGCCATCGAGGGCTCCTTGAAGGAGGTGAGGTGGAGCTGAGGAATCGGGAGAGAGGATGGAGTTAAAGGACAAAACGTGTCAGACCTACAGTGGAGGACAGGATATCAGGACAGCAGGAAAGAGGAGAAGAAAGCAAGACTATAAAAGGTAATACTAGGAGAACAGACTCCTTAATTGTTTGCCAAGAGGTGAGTCTAAGTGAAAATGGACACACACAGGTCAAGCAAAGATGTTATGATCCAAATTAGGAAAGGCGGACAGATGCAACCGGACCGAGTAAGGCAGCAGTAGAACGCTTTCTGAAGTGAGAAATCCTGGATTGTGTCTACGTGGTACACACACAGCCCTCCCTGCTGGAAGTGTTATCAGAGTCAAACAGAAAGGCCTGGGTGTGCGCTGCTGTTCCCTGAGAGGAAATGCAGACAGACACCTCCGGCTTCCATGACTGGAGAATCTCAATTCTCAGAGGGGCAACCGCAGCCCTGGAGCCTCACCCTTTCCCGCAAATATTTTCTACCCAGGCCCCAAAGTTAAAGTAACCAGTTCCTTGTCCTTAGGGCTAGAGAAACAGGAAGTGCACAGGCACCCCAGAGGAGACGGGCAGTGTGCACGCTCCGTCGGGCGACCAGTCTGTGGCCCTAACCTGGGACAGTGATTGCGGCCCATGAGCGCCACACGTGAGCCATCTTCCCGGCCAGAGCGCCTGACATGAGATGCCCTACTCTTTACTCCTCCTGAAAAGCCTATCAGCGCTGGAGAGAGTGAGAGTGATAGGGTCACAGAGGTGCCCCGGACGGCTCTAAATATATCCAAAGTGTAAATTATTTGCCAACTTCCGTGCTTCTGCTGTGTTTGGGACCTCCGATGCCCTCGCTTCTGACCTGCCGAACCACACTGCGGCTAAGTAGCACTGCTCTGTGCCCTCCCAAGGACTCATTCTCCCAGGGCACGGAAGTCCACGTTAATACTGACTGTGCGAAAAATAAAGCTAAGAAATCCTGTGAAGTTCCATCAAGAGCGGTGGCTTTCAGACCAACCTTTTCCTAACATGTGTCCATACCTTTGGGGAGCCAACATTCACACCTGACCAAGATATTCATCATGTCGTGCATTGGTTTGTTTATTCTCATTGGGTGAAGCGCACAAGACAGGAACCAGTGCCCTCATGTCATAGGTCACAAGGACAGAAATCTGACACATTCTAGGCAACCAACACATAATGAGATCCTGTTTTCTGCCTGGCCCACTTTTGGTGATAAAGATGAGTAGTCATGGGCCTGGCTCACTGTCTGGTGAGGGTGACAGACAAATGAAGCAACCTCAATGTATATGATTAAATAAAGTGGTAGACAGGAACACAGCATGCGGTGGGCCCACAGACAAGGAAACTGAGGCATGAGAGAATGCATAGAGAAAGCTTTGTGGAGGAGATGCTGCATGGGTCTCAAAGATCTTTACTGAGCAACTGCCGTATATCCTTAGTGTCTCCATCTGGTTTCCATGGAGACAGCATGGGACTGTGGTAAGGAAGCTCACAGGCTGGAAGGGGAGATCCACTTACCTGGAGCTCAGAGTCAAGTGGAAAGTCTTTCTGTTGACGCCCTTAGCCACTTTCCCCTAAGCTCCCATCTTCAAAGCAGCCTGTCCTGTCTTACAGCTCTGGCAGACAGTAACTCCAACAGTAACTCCTTAGCATGAAATTTTCCCCTTTGGGGAATAAACCCAAATGTAGGCAGGGGCGTGAGTCCTCCTTTTTCCATGACTGACACCTTGGAAAGAGCTGACGGCTCCAGACATGGAAATCTGACCCAAACTAAACCTGGTCCATTGTCTTATTAGTTTGAAATTCTGAACATAGGCACACAGAGTCCTGGATGTAAATCACATTAATGGCAACACCTACAAAGTATGACCACAAACTCCTGTCATCAAAGCCCACAGCCCTGCTTTCCCACAGCTGTGTGTTGAGCTGCTTTCAACTCTGAAGTCTTCCACATCTCCTTCCTGCCTAGCCTGGCCAGAGCGAGTGCTCAACCCCACAACTCATGGCCTCTTCGTGCGTGTCTTCCGTCCAGCGCCTCCCATCTGTGCCCAGTCTACCTGCATTTCCCTCAGGTCAGACCATCTGCTGAGAGGTGAACACTCCATACAGCTTGATATGCCCAATATTTCCTTCAGAGAAGGACTGGTGGGGCTGGTGGTTTATGAAGATACCATGTCAAAATCTAGAGGATTCGCTCCACGCCAGGAGGACTTCAGAACCTACTGAGTCTTGATAGTCCAGTGAAGGACACACTAGGATATATGGAGAATTACGAAAACATCTCAAATTACACCAATTCTGATTCCGGATCTTAGTTTTGTCACTCATTTAACCAAGAATACACAACTAGTAAAGGGGAGAGTTAAATTTGAAAGCCAATCTGGCTGCTTCCAAAATATGTATTTATTTATTTATTTATTTTTCTTTCTTCACTTAAATCAATGATTCTCGATTGGGAAAAAGGAACTACCTGGATATATTTTTGGGTTAATAACTCTGAGTACCATTGTCCTCCGGCAGGTGGAGACAGGAATGGTGCCGAGGATGGCCCCAAGACAGTAAGGTATTTTCCTGTCCCAAAATATCAGGAAGCCTGACACTGAGAAGTCCTTCCTTAAGTAAAGGAAATAAACAAGTCTTTTGAAAAATGTGTGATCTGAATATGCAAAAACAAGAAGTTAAGTAAAGATCCCATTTGGTGAAAGATAGACTTTGGAATAATACGCAGTTGTGAATTATAGACAGATCTACTGATGTACAAAATATGTATTGCATATATTTAGATGGAAAAGATATCCTACAGAAGTTAGAGTATGATTCCATTTGGTAAATAAATTGCATATATGTAGGAAGAAGACTAGAAGACTATATGCCGATAAGTTAGTACTTTTCAGTGCTGAGGGGAAGACGATTAAAGGATTTTTGTTTTCCAACCTATTTCTTGAGAGGCATTTTTACTTTAAAACTACTTGCTTTTATTTTTTAAAATGACTCTTAACTGATAGCCATATGCCTGACCTCAGCAGGTTCCCATCGGCCCACACTTTCAGAATCTCTGCCCTCACCCACCTACACACTCAAGGAAAGAAGCTTTCTTTCATTAAAATAAGCTCAGAAAGCGAAGCTCTGCTTATGAGGTTCTGGTGCATGTTTGAAAATGTTAATTACCTCGGATCAAGGTCTCAGCTCTCCAGAGCCTTCGTGCCTCTGGCTTCCGTGAGTTCTTAGTCCTGACTCAGACGGAGGACGAAGAACTCCACCCTCTCCTTTCTGCTGGAGACAGATTCTGGTTAAATCTTCTTGTTTCTGAGCAAAAAAAAGAGAAAGAAGTATCAATTCCCAGCTCTAGCTACACCACCTCTAGCAAGAGACCTTCTGACAGAACAAAAGAATTTTACAATTTACATTCTTAATCTGAACTCAAAAGCTAAATTATTAATGAGAAAACAACTTTGACCACAAATAACTAAAAATACTCCTAGAATTAATACTCAAATCATTTCTAGAATTATTTTTCCCATTGGGCAAAGTGTTATTGTCACTATTATTTATTAATAACATTAAATTAAATATTAGTGTCAATGTATTATTGTTGATATTCTATCAACAATAATTCCTATTATTAGTAAGACCATCAACGATAATACTACTAGTGTGGTTCAACGAAATAAGTAATACTTCTTTCCATTGTTTATGGAGCCACAGAAAGAGGGATTTGAACTTCATGTGGGGTATTAATTGACAAGCATGGGTAAGTTCAGAATTATTCTCTTTTAGGTGCTAGGAGACTATATAGCTGCATAAGTTTCAGAAATTAGAATCAAGGGACTTGTCTGGGGGAGAGCAGTCTTTGTTTGTTTGCTCATTATTTTCCATAGAGGGCCTCCATTCGTATTGGTTAAGTAAATCCTGCATCTGTTCAACCCTTAGAAGCCTTTCTTCTGTTCTTCAAAGAAAATCCATTTCTCTCTTCTGTTATCAGTATTTGTTACTACTGGGGAGATATTTCTGTAAAGCTCAGAAGAAACAAAAACGACATACCAAATTAAATTTTACTCTCAATATGTATTTCTCTTTTCTACAGACTGAACAATCAACTCATTGTCCATCCTCAAGTACCTAAATGAGCTCTCTTCTTTTCTCTTCTTTCTTTTTTTACTACATGCCTCAAAAGGAGCTCTGTGTGTGTGTGTGTGCGCGTGTGCGCGCATGTGTGTGTGCGTGTGTGTGTGTGAATGTGCTGGTGTATTTCGATGGATATTATTTCAAATGGGTTGAAAAAGACCTTTCTTTAACACTTCAAAACTGGGGCCAGTAAATGATAGATGGTTCATTGATATGTGTTAAATGAGTGAATGAATGAATAAGTTCTGTGCATCTTTTAATAAAATAAAAAGTAATATGTTGTCATTCTTGCCAACAAACTCATGCCCTTGTAAGAGAGAACTGGAACCACCACCTCCTCTGGAAATCCCACACCATCTTGGTTATTTCCCCAAATACATTAGCAGCTTCATTGATACAATGCTTCTCCAGGCAGGTGTCAAGGCACCTGCTTTAACTTCCGGGTAAAATACATTAAGTTTCAAAATTCTACCTCACTGGTAAATCCACTGGTGAATACTTTACTTGGATTGTAAGTAATTAAGAACTCCATGTATCTTTGGGAAATGTTATTTTAGTTCAACTAAAAATGGGATTTTAATGGAACATAAAAGCTTCAGTTTTCAATAATGAGAAAAACTAATTCTTGTTTTAAAGACCCAGGTTACTCCCTTTCCAACACTTTTCACATGTAATAAAATGGCAAAACTCGCTCTAGATTCTGTAACAATTCAGTAAATTAATGCTAATTAATTTCTCTGACAACTACAACAATTTCCAAACTACTGATTCAAGAAATTTCATCCACAGAAGTCAATGAACAGCTCCTCATTGCAAATAAGAAAGATCTTTCAAAACGACTGACAGTTAATGAAAGCTATGCAAGTGCACAGAAATTTCAGATGTTTACTTTCAAATGATACAGCCTTTACCTATCCAACTAGCAAGAGAAGCAACTATGAAATACTTTAAAAATATAAAACTGTTTGTAAGGAAAACTATAAGGAAATGAATTACTCAAATACAAAAATCAGTGTAAATATGAGAAACACAAAATAAGAATATAATTTTAAAACAAAGAAAAATTGAGAGCATAGCAGGCATTTATGTTTTGTCTACATTCAATTTCTGTTCCTAAGCTCAAATTGAAAAGTTTTTATAAAATTTTTTATACTTTATATTTACCAGTAGGAATTAATCTGTTTGGAAAGTTTACCTCTATTTGAACTGCCCATTTTGCATACACTCAAAGGAGATATGGAATTTCCTGAAATGGCAGTTAAGCAAAGGAAGTATTTCCCTATAATTAAAACTGATTTTCCTCACTATTCGTAGAGCTCTTCTGAATTTGGTTTACAGACATGTCTTTGTGTTAATACCAGAAGTTTTGACTGAATTATTTTTAAGAATTGAGTGGCTGCCTGGGAAAGCAGTGATAAAATCTACATAGAAAATGATTTCTGGGTAACAAAATACAGTTAGACAGGAAGGATTTGTTCAATGTTCTGTGACAGAGTAGGACAACTATAGTTTACAACTTATCTATTTTACAAAGAACTAGTAGAGAGGAGCTGAAGGCTCCAAACACAAAAAAATGATAAAGTTTAAGGAAATGAAAATACTAATTACCGTAACTTCATCACTGTCCATTGTATACTTACATTAAATCATCATATTGCATCCCATAAATATGTATAATTAATATGTATCAGTTAAAAGATAAAATTTTAAAATTCCTGCAAGACTGAGGCAGGAAGATCACTAGTTTGAGCCGAACCCAGGCAAATCAGCAACGAAGAGAGACCCTGGCTCAAAAAAGAAAATAGAAAAGAGGAAGGGGTGGTTCACGGATGTAGTTCAGCGCAAAGGCTCTGGGTTCAATCCCCAACACCACAAGGCTTAATTAATTAATTTTAATAAATCTTTTCAAATTTAGTATTACCATTATCTCTGACCCTCTTGCAGTATCCTGGGACAGGAATCAATCCCTGTTGGTCAGTTCTTGCAGCAGCTCTGCTAGTTTGTTCTAAAGGGCTCCCTCCACTCCTAACCCGTGAACAATGCGGTGATCAGAACAGACAGTTACTGAAGACATCAAACCTCTGTTCAATGATCAATTACTTCTAATAGTAGGCAATAGTGCATCTCATATGACAGTCATCAAAAATACATCATATAGCTATTAAATATTCATGTAACTGAAATTCTGTCTTCTGTCCATTTATATTTGGGGCCTGAATTTCAAAGTTATTTCTCCCTATATGGACAGACATGTCATCTGTAATGAAGACTGAGCTGGGCATCTAGGAAGACAAGTTTGTTTCTTCATAGACTCCCATTCTGAGTGAGGTCTTTCTGACATTCCATCGCTGACAGCATCCATGGAGTGTAGAATCAGATTCTTACTTTATGCACAGGCATCTCTAACTGAAAGTCTGGAAACCCAATCATAGGATGCTGAGAATTTCACATGCTCTGTATTATATGCAAGGTGGAGCATTTATTTCTGTACTTCCCAGGATGGAAATCTTCCTTCACCTGGTCAGTGCCAGGAAGACATAATTAAGCCAATCTCTTGTGACATGTGACATGCCACTCAAGGAAAGGAGAAATATATCATAAGCCTACTTCTTAGCTGTGATATGCTGTCTAGCCCCAAGCTATGCCCCAAGCTGGAAAATGTGTTTTCTCTTCAAAGAGAAAATTCCACATGTCACAAAGGCTGTGCTCCCTGGAGCTCGCTTGCTCATGGTGTTCTAAAACAGTAACAATCAAGGAAAAACTTACCCATTTTAATGTCATACTTCATTAAAATATATTTTTAGGAAAAAAGCATTTATTTAATAGTAACTTATTTGGTGCAGGAATAATCCAAGCCACTGCAATTCCTTCGATGCTACGACTGTTTGTTTTGGAATTTCAGGTAGTTTGTCCTTCAGATGAAAGCTCTGGATGTCCAGAGCAGGGATTTCCATACTTGTCTTCATACTGGAATCACCCAGGATCTCCAACAATGTGGATGCCTTTGTTCCACCCCAGAGATCGTGAATTAATTGGTCCTGAGTGGGCCTGGACTTGGGAATTCTTACCAAATCCTCAGCTGGTTTTAATGTGCAGCTAAGTTTGAGAAGCACTGGTCTATAGGCGAATTGATTACTGCATCGCTATGTAGGCATTAAATAAATACAGCATCCCATTGATCTGTCACGATCAAGGAATGATATTTAGACTAATTAGCATCACTGACAATTATGACTCCACATTAAACAGCCAGGCACCTTGCAGAAATGATATCCAGTCCTCGCAAGACTCTTGCAAATAGGTATCGTTCTCCCAACCCACACAGGAAAACTGAGGGTCAGAAAGTTTAAACTGTGAACCCCAAGCAACCCACAAATTAATGGTAGAGCTGGTCTTTGAAGTCAAGTCTTTTTGACTCTTAAAGACAAGCTGATTTTCATTATAGCATTCATTTTCAGCACAGGCAATATCGCTTCCAAAAAATTTTTCAGGAGATACATATTTCTTAGATAATACCATAGTTTTTGGCCCCTCCAAAACCAAAACTCCATCTGAGAAAGTCTGATTCCTTAATATTTAATTTCTCTCATTGGGGAGAATTTTTATTTCATTTCATTTTTCCACTCAAAAGGACAATAATGGAAAGATGTGTGAGAAATACTGCACTGTCTCATGTTCTGTCTCCATGTATTTTGGCCAGTGATAAGATACACACTACTGACATACCACACGCAAAGTATTTACCATGCAAAATACCCATAAAGAAAGTAGCTCTCTCCTCAATTTTACAAGGCCCAAGTTGCTCTTACAATTGAAAAGAACTACCATATAAATAAAACCTATGCATGATGGGTTACCAGAATGCTAATGACAGGAGAGGAAGCAGTAAGTCTGAGGAGTATTATCTAAAAGTCACTGTAAACATTTATAATATTGCTGCTCCGCCATCATAGAGATAGGTGAATACTAGAGGAAGCTTTCTCTAGTCTGATATGCTTAGATTTCAAAATAGTTCAGGTTTTTAAATATCTGAAGATGAAAATAAAGTCTCATCCAACTTTACATCTCCTATCCCTGGGCCTCATACAAGCTTGTCATTCAACAAGAACGCATGAAGTGAAAACAAAACCAGAATTGTCGCTGCCCTGTACATGTCACCACTCACATAATTAAGTCTATAA